ACTTGGAAATGCGAGATGATTAATATGGACTTCATTACAGGCTTACCTCGCACTCAACGGAAGTATGACTCTATATTGCTTATTGTTGATAGGCTGACGAAATCGGCCCATTTTCTTCCAGTCAGGACTACTTATTCGGCTGAAGATTATGCGAGGTTATATGTCAGGGAAATAGTGAGACTTCATGGGGTTCCCACGTCCATTATATCAGACAGAGGAACTCAATTTACAGCCAACTTTTGGAGATCGTTTCAGAAGGGATTGGGGACAGAGGTGAACCTTAGAACAGCATTTCACCCTCAGACTGATGGGCAGGTTGAGCGTACTATTCAGACACTAGAAGATATGTTGCGGGCCTGTATTATTGACTTCAAAGGCAGCTGGGATGACCACTTGCCGCTCATTGAGTTTGCCTATAATAATAGCTACCATTCTAGTATCCAGATGGCACCGTACGAGGCCTTATATGAGAGGAAGTGCAGATCACCTATTGGTTGGTTTGATGTTGGCGAGACAAAGTTAATAGGCTCGGATGTGATTCAGCAAGCTGTTGACAAGGTGAAGCTTATTCAAGAAAGATTATTAGCAGCCTAGAGTCGACAGAAGTCAAATGCAAATAATCAGCGTCGAGATTTGGAGTTTCAGATTGGTAACTGGGTATTCCTGAAGGTATCACCCATGAGGGGTGTGATGAGATTTGGCAGGAAGGGGAAGCTCAGTCCGAGATACATTGGGCCTTATCAGATTGTTCGTAGGATTGGCAAGGTTGCCTATGAGTTGGATCTACCTTCTGATTTGGAGGCGGTACATCCAGTCTTCCATGTATCGATGCGACGTAAATGTATTGGTGATCCTTCTAGAGTATTCCCTGTAGATGATATTCAGGTAACAGAGGAGTTGTCATATGAGGAGAAACCCGTGGCTATACTTGATCGTCACGTTAGAAGGTTACGTACTAAGGATGTGGCTTCCGTCAAAGTGTTGTGGCAAAATAACAATAGGGAGGAGATGACTTGGGAAGCAGAAGAAGAAATGAAGAATAAGTATCCTTACTTGTTCCCCGTACCTGCAGGTAATTCAATTCCTAGCTTGACTATATTGATAGATAATGAGATTATGTAGTTGTGAGGCATCTGTAAGTTATGGAATGTAGGTTGATAGGTATAACTTTTAGAGAGACCTCGCTGGAATTTGTTTTTGCAAGACGTTAACTTAACATTCGAGGACGAATGTTCCTAAGGGGGGAAGGATGTTATGCCTCATATTTTTTTTATACGTAGTGCGCATCGTGAACTTGAAGACGTAAAGAAATATTAGGCAAGGATGTTATTTACAAATGTGATATTAAGTATGAGTTGGCTAATGTAAGTACCATTAACTTTAAGTGAGGGATTAATTAGTGGCTAATTTAGATTGATTTAATCCAATGGGCCCCACCACTCATAATTGGTGGCTGATTAGGATTAATTTAATCAAGTGGGCCCCACCACAAAAGGCAAAAATGAAAAAGGAATCAGATTGTTGGATGGCCTTAGTTGACAGGTGTAAAGGGGGGCTGCCTCCACTTCATACTATTAAATGAGGTGGAGAAATCTACTCCATGCTAAATATAGTGGTGAAATGCATTGCTGCATATCATCTTCTTCTTCACCACTTGTTTTAGGCAGCCATGGAAATGGAGAAACCAACCCTGCAAATCTTGGCCAGCAGCTGCAAATAATTTGATTAATAGCTTGAGCAGTAAATATTGGACGTGCGGCTCGATTATACGGTATGTAACGCTGTCCCTTCTTTCGTGCTTGGCATGACTTTTAAAAATAAGCGAATAACTGACAGATTTGATACTTACCTCTAGAGCGTCTAGGTGACGTATATTCTTGCTTCCACAATTATTCCTCTATATATCGGCTATGTCTAAGGCTATGATGATCTCTAATATCTGTGGTAATGCTTCTTAGAGTCATTGAGATTTTATGTTTCCATATCGTATTAAAGGTTCATAATATTGATAAAACATTAATATTTGGTAATACTCCTTGCTGGTTCACGTTGATTGTTCTATTGAGTTATAAGAAATGATTTTAATTGCATATGGTTGCTCATAATATTCTGCTCGTGCATAGAGTCATTTATCATTTCACCGAGTCCCGGGCCGGGTAATATTCTTGCGGAGTTTCTTGCATATGTCACCGAGTTCCTCACTAGAGGGCCGGGTATGTATATTATATATATGATTGGTGATGAGGATAGTTATGATGATGATGATGACGGAGATGATGTGATGATTATTTTGCCGAGCCCCTTACTAGGGAAGCTGGGCACCTTAAATGTTAAATATATGCATGATTTTCACTTAAAAGGCTATATGTGTAGAGATATTTTGTTTCGACTTGCCATATTGGTATCCTGTCATCTTTACCTTATGCTTTACATACTCAGTACATTGTCCGTACTGACCCCCCTTTCCTTGAGGGGGATGCGTTTCATGCCCGCAGGTGTAGACGCACAGTTCGGTGATCCTCCGGCCTAGGATATCTACTCTACTTATTGGGAGAGCTCCACTGTTCCGGAGCCCAGTCGTTTTGGTACATAACTTTTGTGTAGTCTTTTGCTCGTCTATGGGTATGGCGGGGCCCTGTCCCGTCGAGTTTCACTAATGTACTCTTAAAGGTCTGTGGACATTATGTGGGTTGTATATATATGTTTTGGATAATGGTCTGGACATGGTTTGTTTGGGATGTCCGCTTGTACAGGGGCAACCTTGTCAGCTGCGTACATCATTGTGTATTGTGTAGTGGCAGCCTTTTCGGCATACGTATGATATTATGCTTTGAATAGTGGCGGCCTTGTCGGCTCGCGTATGCTGTTATGGTTGAATGGTTATGACTCCTTATGTGAAAGGTCCTCTTATATATATATGACGTTGGGGTTGGCTTGATTCGATTAAATTCCATATTGTCTTAGTTTCAGTTGGTTATACTTAGCAGGTTTGTATGTGGGTGTCCAAAACGGGCACTAGTCACGGCCCATCGGGTTGGGTCGTGACATTTTTGTCTTAATCTTTTGTTGAATTTTTTGTAGATTTCATGTAATGATTTCTTGGTTTCAATCCTTAGTGATTTCACTTATTTTACATTCATTTTTAGTTGCATTTTGTACCATTTTGTTTGCCGGAACCCAACCTACCAAATGTTGGAAATTTGTTCACTATTTTCAGCTTCTTTTTATCATCATTCAAACGTTAATTCTTAAGGAATTTGATGGATCACTCGATGCATCTTTAAGTGTAATATTTTGATGATTGTGTTTAGACAAGAATTGTCATTTCATCCATAACCTTTACAACACTTTTACAGCTAATAATTTACAGAAACATTCGCACATAAAATTCAACTATAAAAACATTTTCACATATTTTCGGTTGACATAACTTAACATGCTTACAATTTCAAAAACATAATAAAGAACACATTAGCATGAAAATCAAACTTCATACTTAAAATACCAGCAAACTTACCAACAACATGATTTATAACCTATTTCACATTGAGATCTAAGGGATACTAGGGACAAAGAGTTCGACAAGAACGGGAACAACCATTGTTTTCGAGTAGATTCATCTGAGCCTTAAGGGTCTCTAGGGAACGGTAACAGGAGTAAGAAAACCCATATCTTATTTTGAAGTTCAAATCTTGATGTTGCTTCCCAAAAAACCCACTCAAGAACACGTCTAAGCCTCCTCAATATTAACTCCAGTCGAATGACAACCTCTATTACCCTAGTGTGCGATTAATGTTTGTTTTCTTGTGATTTCGTGTGAGTTCTTCAAGTGTGAAGAACTTGGTTTATTTTTCTGCTTTTGTATCTTATTTTGGCAGAGAAAAAATGTGAGAAAGAATAACAGAGATTGAGCTTGAGAGTGGAGAGATAAACGTAAGAGAGAGTAGGAGTTATATTAGTCTTAGGAGTCTAGTTTAGGATTTAGTCAAGTAAAGTTTACTTAATTATTAAAAATCTGATTTTTATTTTATTTTAAATCATCTAATGAATAATAATAATTATTAATTATATTAATTAATAGCATAAATAAAAATCATATTAATTTATTGCTTTCACCTAGGATCGAACCCGGGTGAAGCAAGACTTCACTTCAAGAGCTCAATTTCGGCTCTCTCCCCCAAAATTGCCCATCCACCTTATTAATTAAATAATTAATTATTTATTTAGGGTAATTAAGATACTACCCTTATCCTATAAAAAGACTATTTTACCCCTAGACTCTCCAAACCTAGGATTTCCTCTTTTTATGTCTGGTAAAGACTCCTTCGAGTAAATCTTTACATTCGAGAGTTCTACATTGTTGGACCCAACCTTTCCTAGCAAAACTAACCCCCCAAGTTAGTTTTCTTGGATGTACCAAGGGTTACATAGTCTGTTTCTACGCGCATCAATCCGTGTGAACCTGGTTTAATCGTAGGCATTCTAGACACATTAAGCATTACTAAGCATATTCATTTTTTTTAGGGTTGTCACATTATCCCCCTTAGGAACATTCATCCCCGAATGACACTACTCTTTACTAACAATAAGTAAGTCATCTATAGAATGTATGCCTACATAGGTAATTCAATATTTCCCATTGGTGAATATCTGATTCACATATTAACATGATGGCGCACATCCTTGAAACCTAGTAGTAACTTCACATTAATGGACTAAGGAACTTTTTCCGAAACTAGTCTCATCAAAGCATACAACATAAGTAAACATGTAAGTCATACAAATCAACATCCAACATGATGAATCAAACATATTTACCTCATACTAATACATAAACACCATACACAGTCAAATACCTGAAGGGCTTATTGAGGCTACTCATCCAAGACTTCAAGAGAAGTGTCTTTCCCTGTACCCGTATACTTGAGTGCGAGGAATAGTTGCCTCCTTGGAGCCTCTTCGCTTGGACCACTTGACTGAACTCTCTCCTTCCCTTGTTCTTAACGTCTCCTAATCGGACAATCCTTCACCATGTAACCCGGTTTGCCACAACTATAACAAGCATTAATGCTCATCATACACTCTCCTGCATGTAGTTTGCCACATTTCCTGTAAGGTGGTCTCTCCAAAGGTGTATCTACTTCATTATTTCTCTTAACTCTAAACTCGGAATTCCTATCATGGTAACCCTTGAATGAACTTGACTCCCCTTGGTGGAAGAGTCCCTTCTTAAACCTGGGCTTATCCCTAATTTCAGTACTAGTCTTCCTAGAAAAAATATTCTCAGATTGTCTTTACCTGTTCCCCGCCCTAGTATGCTTCCTATTCCTATTTTCCTCCACTTATTGGACATGGACAATAAGCCTGGAAAGACCCATGCTGGAATGCAACATAGCTGCCCTACACTCCTCCTCGAGATTCTCAACAATCTTAGATCCAGTGTAAACGGGAGGATTCATCCTCGTGAAGTCCCTTAACTTGCTAGCCATGGTGCAAGTAGGTGGGTTCTCCCTGAAAACACCTTGTTGATCTGCCTTCATTTATCCTCGTATTCATCATTATGAATCTCAAGAGTTGATGCTAGATACGCTCTTAACACAATGAAACAGACATTAGAGAAGGTAGGATAAGATAAAAAAAAGGGAATTTTCCTATGCATCACGTAGTCTCTAATTCAGGATAGTGGTGCACTTCACTACCATTACTTAGAAACTACTCAATGTGGTTGATGTGAACTTATTATCCTCGGAATTTAACCTAGTTCTATGATACCAACGTCTTCATATTCAAAATCTAGACCGCAGACGCGACCGGTCAGAGGTCGCACATAAGCCTACATAGGTCATTCTTAATTCATCTAGGTTAATTTTAGCGGAAAATTTGAATTTTTGTCTTCTTAATTCATGCTTAACATTTTAAACTTAACATCATAGGCGTTCACAAATCAACCATCTAATATAGTGATAATCAAACGAAAGAAACAATTCATAATTTCACTACAAGTATTTTTTCCAAAACGGCACAAATACAAAGTCTGAAATAGAAGTTGACAAAAACACTAGTGGAACTTGGTACACTAGGTAAACCATACATCTAAGCTAGATAATAACAGTAGACACCCTCGAAAGCATGAGGGCCTTCCATGTCCGGATGAAAGCTCCACATCCGAATAACTGTAACGTCGTACTGTAAGATCTAATGTCCACCTGTGCCTGCACCTAAAAGTAGATACTTTTATGGAATTAGTACACACTTGTACTAAGTATGGATATATGCAAGTACACACCAAGGACATGCATGAAAAAGAATATCTCTTTCCTAACAACATGTTTTATGGAGAGTCAAGTAAGTGGACTTGCCAAATTTGGATTAGAAAAGTCAACGGACCTGCCAAATTATGATTTGGAAGTCTTGCCATTAGTGTATCATGCATCATCAATCTAATCATTTGCAAACATCACATAACATATTTCACATATCATATCACATATAGAAAATAACATGTTTCATCATTCATTCATACGCCATGAGACCTTTGAATCATGGACCTAACATTAAAACTTTCCAGAAATGAGAGTTCAACATATGGGATCTTAACTAGGGAATCTGCTTTAGCAAACAAAGAGTCTTCTTCATTCATTCATACGTACTCCATTTCATTTTATTCATGGGCCAATGTAAACAAGATTTATGCGATGTAGTTTAAGACTTTCATTGGGTTCGTTGTGCAATGACCAAGAATGACCTAATGTCATTACTTGAATCTAACTCACCGTTTGATTATCCTATCCTAAGACCTTTGGTATCATTCATTTCATTATGTGCATCATTTGAGGCTGGCCTCCTTCATTCATTGGAAACTTTAACTTTAACCGACATAGATCATGTGAGCTTCATGAAATCCAGTGTCATGAAACCCCACACCGAAAAGAGGTGGAATCACCGGCCAAAGTGACTCAAAACATACTAGCGTACATGGGAATTGAACCCCGCTAGATCCTTATATCGGAAGTACAGATTTGAAGATTATGAGATATAAGTAGACCCATTCCCGACATTCTAGACAGTCTCATCTCATGAGAGTTACGTGAACCTCTGCCCTTCCCAAAAGAAGGCTTCACCGCTCATAGCTAGTCTATCGGTGCGTGCTCAGTATAAAGTTCCATTACATTCAACTCATACATCATTGAAGCTGGCTTCTACTATGAGGACATCATAGCTCAATAGATGATTTCTTAACTCATTATTAGTATTAAGTCTGTTAATCTCAATACTTTCATTAGAGTGTTCATAGAGACTAGTCTCTTCATTAACTTCACACTCTCATAGTTGAGTGCGTTTTGGAAACATATACTAAGGCTCATTTGAGATTGATCTCATCTCTTACATTAGCCTCATATCATGTTGTCACCACATTCATTATCATTAGCACATTTGCTCTTCGCAGTTACTCACCCCTTTTTACGTGAATGTTAATTTCATCATATACTAATGCACTTTTCCATTTGGTATGTTTCACAGACGTACTTAACTCTTCTAGGGTTTCATCATTTCATTGTTCATTTCATCATTTCATTATTCATTTCATCATATTCCAATGCTCTTGGACATTAAGTGTATTTTACACTTGTACATAACTCTTCTAGGGTTTCATCATTTCATTACATACCTCTTAGGTTCACTTACTTTTAAACGTATTCTAGACTTACGGGTCCATACATACAATCAATGGGGCTTCATTCATAGTTTGTCTAAGTGATTCATATTTACCCAAGATTATGTGGTACAAGAATTATGCATCTTATAGACATGCCAAGATATTGATTTCGATCTTTAGCGGCAGCATTCATTAAACATTTACTGACGTATGACTTATGTGTTAATACGAAATTGGGCAAGGGAACTGGATTTCGAATCCCATCTATTTTTCCTTACATTTTTCTAATGATATTTTTATGAAATTTTCATTTAGCGAGGTCATGGTTTCAATCCCCAATGAGAAAATTTTAAATTTTTTTAAACGAAGATCATTTTTTAAAAAAGTTTCCCGAGACTTCAATTTCCAGCAGACTGGAAATATAGTCTCTGCCAATCCATTTTTGTCTTAATCTTTTGTTGATTTTTTATTATAGATTTCATGTAATGATGTCTTGGGTTCAATCCATAGTGATCTCACTTATTTTAAACTCATTTTTCATTGCATTTTGTACCATTTTGTTTGGCCGAACCCAACCTACCAAATGCTTGAAATTTGTTCACTATTTTCGGATTCTTTTTATCATCATTCATACGTTAATTCTTAAGGCATTTCATGGATCATTTGGGGCATCTTTAAGTGTAATCTTTTTATGATTATAATTAGCCAAGAATTACCATTTCATCCATAACCATTACAACACTTTTACACCTCATAATTTACAGAAACATTCACACATAAAATTCAACCATAAAAATATTTTCAAATACTTTCGGTTGACATAACTTAACATGCTTACAATTCCAAACACATAATCAAGAACACATTATCACGAAAATCAAACTTCATACTTAAACTACCCTCAAACATACCAACAACATGATCTCTAAACTATTTCACATTGAGGTCAATGAGACACTAGGGAGAAGGAGTTCGACAAGAACGGGAACAACCCTAGTTTTCGAGCTGATCCATCTGAGCCTTAAGGGTCTCTTGGGAATGGGACCAAGAGTAATAAAACCCATACCTTTTTTTGACGTTCAAACCTTGATGTTTCTACCCAAAAACTCCACTTGAGAACACGTATAAGCCTCCTCAATATTAACTCCACTCGAATGACAACCTTCCTTAGCCGAGTGTGCGATTAATGTTTGTTTTCTTGTAATTTTGTGTGAGTTCTTCAAGTGTGAAGAACTTGGTTTATTTTTATTCTTCTATATATTATTTTGGCAGAGAAAAAAACGTGATAAATAATAACAGAGATTGAGAGTGAGAGTGGAGAGATAAACATATGAGAGAGTAGGAGTTATATTAGGCTTAGGAGTCTAGTTTAGGACTTAGTCAAATAAGGTTTACTTTATATTAAAAATATTATTTTTATTTTATTTTAAATCAGATAATGAATAATAATAATTAATTAATTTTATTAATTCAATATCATAAATAAAAATCACATTTATTTATTGCTTCCACCTAGGTTAAAACCCGAGTGAAGAAAGCCTTCACTTCAAGATCTCGATTTCGGCTCTCTCTCCCTAAATTGCCCCTCCACCTTATTAATTAAATAATTAACTATATATTGAGGGTAATTAAGATAGTACCATTATTCTGGAAAAAGACCATTTTTACCCCTAGACCCTCCAAACCTAACATTTCCTCTTTTTAAGTCTGGTAAAGACTCCTTCGAGTAAATCTTAGCATTCGAGAGCCCTTCATGGTTGGACCCAACCTTTCCTAGCTCAACTAACCGCCAAGTTAGTTGGATTGGATGTATCAAGGGTTCCTATGTTTTGTTCTGCGCGCATCGATCCGTGTGAATCCAGTCTAATCGTAGGCATTGTAGACATATTAAGCATTACTTAGCATATTTATTTTTTAAGGTTGTTACAAAAATAGAAAAGAAACACTAGTGGAACATACTCCACTAGTTCAACATACTACTAAGCAAGAAATGTTAAGGCAAGCATCCTTAAATGCATGAGGACCTACCAAATCTGGATGAAATCTATTAGTCCGAACAACTGCAATGATACCTTTAACGTCCACCTGAGCCTGCACCTAAAATAGTAATATTGTATGGACTTTGTGCACAGTTGTACAAAGTATGGGTACATGCAGTAACACATAATGGTTATGCATGAACAAGAATGACTCTTCCTAATAAACATGCTTTCTTAGAAGGTAAAGTCTCTTGACTTGCGTAATTAGTAATAGGAAGGTCAAGTTTCCTCTTTTACTAATTCAATTTTACCAATGTGTTCCCTCTGCCGACATCTTTAGACCGACTATGTTCTTAAACATCTTCTGTATTTTAATTTGCAGCTGCCAAACACCAAGTTCAGCTGAGTCAACCGCGAGACTATTTGAACAAAGGAAAACAAGTATACAGTTGTTCGACCATTTCCCAAACAAGGAAGCTTGCTATTTCTTTAATATTTCCTCTGTGTGGGATATGCCTTCTTGCATTTGAATTTCAGCCTTTTAACATTTTTATGTATTTTAATTACTAGCTACCAATCGTGAATTTTTCATGCGGTTCAATTTGTGGACGATTTAGACAAAGAAGCACACAGTCCACTCACTATCTTCAAAAGAAGTAAGCCTACTCTTTGCCTTAATTTTATCAGTGTGGCATATTGATCATTGCATCATTTTCAATTGCGACTATTTGACCATAAGAATATTTACTACTCTTTCACCATACAACTTCCATTTCTTCTAGTAGTAATACTTGTTATCTATCTTAAATATTCAGGTCATAGCCAAAAGAAAAGGTTCCCCATGTATTACAGAACAAGGAAGCGAGTATATGATTCTAAAAAAAGTTCTAACAGTTTATATCGT